TGTCCCTTGAGAGAGTCAACAGCACCTCCCCATTTAGTATTATTGGCAAACTTGCTAATGGTGCATTCAACTCCTGCATCCAGGTCATTGATAAAAATACTGAACAGAACTGGCCCTAGAATTGAGCCTGAGGAACACCGCTGGTGACTGGTCGCCTGCAGAATACCTGCCTGCAGGCCCCTTTTGTCCCTGATCCTCTTGTGACCTATATGTCTTCCTGCCTAATGGTTCCCCCGGTCCACTGCCATGTATGGAGGCCTGTCACCAGCATTCCAGGCTTTGGTCTCTCCAGGAGGTGAGTGGGAAGATCAGACTCGACACATGTATGCAGATTCCTAGGGCTCTCCACTCTGGGGAAGGGGGCAGAAGAGTCTGCATACAATTTCCAGTTTGAGGATGAGTGTACTCAGCATGATGAATTGCTGGAAATGTGTCCTGTAGAGCGTCCAGGAATGGAAGTTTAGTGAATAAGGAAGGAGGGACTGAGGGAATGGTGTAGAGTTTGTTACATCTGAAATATTGGTGGAATGGAGGAGAAACAGAGGCTTCCATGGAGAGGGTGTGGACTGAAAACAGCACAAACTTGCAGGGATGATGAGCATAAGGACCTGCCCAGAGGTCCTTAACCCCTATCCTTGTGGGGGTTTAGCGAGTGCTTTGTGGTATAAGATGAGTCTGTCTTATTTTGGCAGCTCGAAAACTGCAGCAGAAACGTACCCTTCTGCTGGAGGAAGAGGCAGAAGAGGATGAGATGGTGAAACAGGTGCCTGAGATAAACACGCAGTCCAGTGTCATCATTGAAGGAGTGGAGTACAAGATTGAGAGACTAAATGGAAGGAGCATCCAGACTCCAGCAACTCGGTAAGAAAAGACTGGTAGCTCAGTACCACCCACATGTGTCAGAGAGGTCCCAGTATCAATTTTTCAGAGAAGAGGGCTGGGCAGTATTTCTTCTTCAGCATAGAAGTGGGCAGGTTTTTACAGTTCTTTCTTTTCAGAAGAATAGCTCCTTTAGCTGTGCACTTGGGTATGTAGAGATGATGTTTTTTAGAGGGAACTAGTTCAAGATGAGCCCTGATGTTGAACCTAGGTTTGGGGTTTTTTAGGCTTTTGTTTCCTGCTTCTCCTGGACTTGTCCTCCAGGATATCTTCTTGTTGTTTTTCCAATTCTTGGGCATAGAACTTGGGGAATGAAAAAAGGCTTTTCATAAGCTTTCAAATAAAAAGAAGGTTGCACTAGAATAAAGCTGAACCTGTCCTTATCTGACTCTCTCTTCTGTGTCTTTGGTACAGACATTATTCTCTTCACACTTTTATTGTGAGTCTTACAGTGGATGAAAACATTTATCCTGTCATTTTGAATCTCATATCTCTCCATTGTTTCTGTCCAGTCTCTGTTGAGGAACTTCTCGCATAATGATTCCACCTCCTGTGCTGACAGGGCAACTCTAAGGAAGGACAGCAGCCAAATGCAAACCAGCTTCTTGGTTTGAAGTGAAGGCCTACTTATTCCTACTGTTTTTGTATTGAAATGTGGGAGGTTAGAGAACAGTAAGGCTGGATCTGTCAGATGACTTTCAGTTGCTTATTATTGATGCATTTATATTATTTTTTATATATATGAGCAAAGGCGAGGCAGTGGAATAGACTGAATTTGTGCTTCTTGAAAATTTTTTTTTGTCATAGAAACTGAAATTTAATCAAAATAAACTTGAGCAGTAAAAATAAGGGCTCAGAGTCATGATAAACATTCTCACTGCCAACTGAGTCACAGTAGCTGTGCGCATGTTCTTAACCTGTGGAAAACACGCTTCTGTGACCTCCTTTCATTACAGATCAAACTGCATGTGCACAGCTTAAGAGTGCGATGGTTTTGGTTATGAGCATAAACCCTCAGTGTGTCAAGCAGTTGCACACAGAGTGGCTACATTAAGAATCACTGTTTTGAGATCACTCAGGATTCACCCCTAGCCCAGATGTTCATTCACTTACAACCCAGGACAGTGATCCTTTGTTAACATTCATGTATATGTGACATCAGCAAAGCATAAAGCTGGAAGCAGCCAGGCTGCCCATCACGTAATGGCAGCTGGAAAGAGCCAGGCTAGAACTGTGCAAGAACTTGTCAAACAACACGATGCATTACATTTGAAGAGTGTGTGTCTGTTAGTGGATGGTTGACCTCCAAATGAAGAAAATGAGTTCTGACGTTAGAGAGCATGAACATTTATGAAATCAACAAAGGAAACGTTTGCAGCAATGGAGAAGGAGCTGTTGAGCAAAGTCATTAAGGGTTGCGTCTTCGGACTGAACTAGTTGTTGCTTTCTGGGGCTTGAATCTGTTCTGAACCTTTCTTGGGTGTGCCAGCCTGTGGTACTGTTAACTGACATGCTTGCTTTGCTCTAGGTCCTGTGAGGTCAATGAGAACAGCAGCTCACAGAGGAATTCACTGGAAGAGGGAATCAAACCTGAACAGAGAACCAACTCTATGTCTGGGTAAGTGGAGCAGCAGTGTCCTTTGCCTAGGAGCTGCCAGATGATGGAGCAGATGGCTCCTCCTTTTTAGCAGACATAGGGTGTAAAAGGAAGGATTTTGTGGAGAATGGGAAACTGTGATCGGAACCAACTTCTTAAGAGAAACTCACCTCTGTTACATGTTCTTCCATCTCCCAAGGTGATGTCCTTGGATGTGGTACTAAACAGTTGATTGGGGATGTCAGTCATCACCTTTTATCTTGAAAACAAGGCAGATAAGAGTTGTGGTGGACCAGGCCAGCCTACCACTCACTGTTCCTCTCTGCCCAGGTTGAGTCCATTATATCTTGGAGCAGGGGATCCAGTGGCACCTGTGCGGACAGCCAAAGCTGAACGGCGGCATCAGGAGCGATTGCGAATGCAGAGTCCTGAGCTTCTGAGTGGTCAAGAGAAGGAGCTTTCTCCAGCAGAACGTCGTGCTCTGGAGGCAGAGAAACGAGCAATGTGGAGGGCGGCACGGTGAGACAGAGGAATCTTCACTGTTCTCTTTACTAGGCTAGTTCAGGAAAAGGGGACCTGCTGTATGTCTTTTGGATTACATGGTATTAAAAACAGGGAATAAATAAGCCTTCCTAAGTCAGGTGTTAGTGGAGGTTATATAGTATCTGTTCAAACAGTGCCAAGCATCCGCCACTTGTCTGAGCTCATCTGCTTCTAACAGCTACATGGGTGAGACAATCATGAAGACAGTGAGGTTTTATAAAGAGGTAACTTAAACACCTTTCATGTGATGGTGAACGTACTCCTTCCCTCTCAGCCCACGGCTTCCCACCTCCTTTGTAACACATAAAAAAGGTGATATGTATTGAAGCTGCTAAGTGACATATTCAGAATGAAAAATTCCAGTGTTGCTAGACTGGAAAACTTGCTGAAGCCAAGAAATTAGCAGGATGAGGGCATTCTTAGCCACACAAGCTGTTTCCTCAGCTATGAAAGAGTGATTAAAAACTGTTTTGGAAGAAGGAGAACTTCCTAGCTCAGAACTTAAGGCTTGAAGCTAGTCCAGGCATTTACTGTGTCATATAATTCCTTTCAAAAATTAGTTAAGCTGCTCCTATAACTAATTGTAGTTTTCTTCCCATACCGTAGGAGGCATTCAAAGGACAATCTGAAACAGTGTCTCTTGAGCTTTGAATGAGAGCTTTAGAGGAACAGGGCTGCTTAGTGACTCATCCTTGCCAGCCTGCTATATAAGACGCTGGAGGGATTACTGTGAGTTGTGATACCACTTGGCAATTCCAGTTTGTGCTTAGACATGGATGGTAACAGTGCCATCATCTTCTGGGGAGGCTCTGAGGATGAAGAAATATATAGTGGAATCCTCAATGAGAAATGGCTAATTATCTAGGGCTTTGAGGCTACAAAGCTGATCATTGTTACTTGATTGTGCAACAGATCTGCTTATGGTTTATTTAGAGCTGGACTAATGTTCCTGGTACCAGGGCTTTTGCCCTTCAAGAAAAACTTTATTGGTATCCTGCAGCTCTTTGCCGTGGATGATTCCTTTGCCTGGTCTGTCTCAGCTGGAAATTTTTTTCTGAAGCACTGCCTTAGTTTCACTGCACTGCCCTGTAATGTCAGAAAGCTGAAGAGGTCACTGGAAAGCCTGTTTGTTATATGGAACCTTGATTTGGAAGAGATTGATTTCTGTCATCTTGTAGCATGTTTGTTAGACCTTTGAAGCTGGCCCTGCTTTGAGGAGCTTTTGGATCAGATTACCTCCAGAGGTCCCTTCCAACCTGAATTACTCTGTGAGTCTACACTTAGTATGCATACAGGCATAGTGACGAGTCAGGGTGTCAACAGAATGTGCTCTGGTAGGGTTGTTTCTGTCCTGTGCTATTGTTTCATGCTCCAAATACTGTGGGATTCTGTCTGCTACTCTGATTCACTGAATATTCTGCTGTATTTGGCATCTCATGCCTGTTCTAGTTGATGCTATTCCCATGGTTTCTGTGTCACAACTTTTCAAGTGGCACTATTTGCAAATGCAAGTTCTGTATTTTCACATTAAGCCAGGAATAACCCTTTTACAAAAATACAAATGGAAGAGAATTTGTAAACAATGCCTGCCAAAACAGATGCATTGCCCTTGTGTTATAGGGCTAGAAGCTTTGTAGGTCTTGTGGAGCCAGGTGTGTGCTTACAAACCGTTTCTCAGAAGAGGCTGGCTGAGACTGAGATGACCAGATCCGAATTCTTGCTCCGGCATATACTTCCTTATGATATTGAACAGATCACCGAGTCCTCCTGTGCTGCAGATGCATAGAGAGAGAACTGTAATAGCACTTCTCTGTCTCACAGGAAGGCTCTGAGTGTTGAATACATTAAAAACTGACTGTCAATATGATGCTGTGTAAGCACCACAGTGTTGTCAGGAGTAGACATCTTGCACAGAGTTACTGCTTAGTCTTGCACCCCTCAAAAAAAGGTCCACTGTTGTATTTGATCCAACAAAACAGAAGTTGTCTGTCAGGCTTCTCCTGAAAATCAACATCACCGTGCTTGGAGAGGCAGTAGAGACTGATCTGTCATCCCTTCCCAATCAGATATGCAGAATTTTCTCTCCCTTATGCCTCCACTTCCCATGCATAATATGTGAATTATGGGAATTATATGGGAAGCCCCCACTTCATACGATGGGGCAGGTTTTATGAGGTAATGTCAGCTCTGATTCCTCCTAAGCATTAACAAATCCAAGGAATGCTGTAATAAAAGCTTTGTTTAAGATGGGTGTAGAAAGGAGAAACATGACATTGCGTGTGCAAACCTTTGAAAGCAAAGCCATTACAAGGACGTTGCTCATGTCACAGAATGTACACCACTCACCTTGGTACTCAGTGTTCTTCCATGAACTTCTTGCTGTTGCCAGCAGATAAAGGAATCTGAAAAATGCTGGGGGGTGGGGGGGTGTTAGGGTTTTTTTAGGTGATCACATGATTTGCCTGTAACAGTAGCGTACATGTGAATATGCTTTTGGGCTAGCTAGGATTTTGTTGAAATTGCTTAGGGCACAGTAAAAGTTCTACATTACACTGTATAGAAGGGTTAGTGAGTGTTGAGTATAGTGGTTTTGCCCATTATGGGCAGGAGGGAGATCCCTGCATTCCAAACCTTCAGTCTCATCTCTTCTAAGCATGTTTTGTTCACAGAAAATGAACTAGTGAAGGGAGAGCCTTTTAGAAGTAAGAATGCATGACAAGGAGAAGCTACTTGCAGCTATCTTGCTTTTCAGTTGTTAGATCCAGTGTTACTGTTTTTATGTTCTGCAGACCAGGTCCTTGGCTCCCCTTTCTGCTTCTGATGCCAAGGTGTAGCTTTTTATTGAGTTCTTAGAGAAGTGCCTGGCTGATTCCTTTGGTAGGGTTAAGGCCTTGCTTATTTTGGCATTGGCAGGAATCAGTCAGTCACCACAATGTGCTCCTTTTTGTAAGATAGTATGGACTGTTCCCTGCTACCACAGATCTCCCACGATGATCTGGTCTTCTGAGGATCCCACTTCTAGAACTGCTGTAACTGTGTAAGAGTAGGCCCAGTGACATGATGGCAGCTGGGGCTCAGGTCTTATTTCCAGGGGCCCCCAGGCAGCACTACATGTGTTGTGTGGGAGGGAGGACTGTATTGCCCTGCACATGGTGCTGCAGCCTCACTAACCTGTATTTTCTTGAAGTGAATGCCACTGATTTTATTACTTTCTTTCTAATCTTCTATCTTCTGCTTCTTTCCAGTTCTCTGGTCTGTGTGCTGTCACTCATGACGCCATCAGTTTGCACCTTCTTGGGCTTTCCCTTTTCTCTCTGTGTGACCAGTGCTCTGCCAGGACATGTGATGCGTGTGCGTGTCCCCAGCACACACACCTGTGCTCTGCTGGGACAAACACACTGGGATCCATGCTACATAAATGTTCTGGGCACACACAACCACTGACATTCATGCCATAGGAAGATGGTGATTAAGAATGTACAGGCACATACCGACGGGGGCTGGTGTCCAGCAAGGGCTATATGCATCTTGGCAGTTTTCCTACCATGCACATACTACTTTAGAGATGCTCTCACCTCTTCAATTGCATGTGTTGCAGGGCCTGTGGCAAATAGACCTTTTGTAATGTGCTTGTCAATTTTGCTTCCCCTTAAGGTGCATGCTTACAGGTGGTGAGATATATGTATGCAAATGTACGTTAAGAGAATATCAAATGTGTGCATGCACACTCGCTCATGACCTGTGCTCCCTCAGTCTGCTTCACACATACACACACACTTCTTTGTAACTACCTCCTGGGCCTTTTCCAGTGGTCTGTTGGGTGTTTCTAGTCCTATCCTAGTCTGTGAGGAGGGCAGTCTTTAGATGCTGAGGCTCGGAAGGCTACTGCTTCTGGGCATATCATGCCAGATTGCCCTCTGGAGGTTCCTGCTTACTCTGCAGAAGTTGATGTGGAACAGGATCAGATATAGGAGCCTGTTTTAATCAAGGCTGCCCCTATATCAGACCCATATTTCTCCTTGCCAGGGTATATTCCTGTATCTGTTTCTTTCTTTCCCTGCGCTTGTCTGCTGCGATGTTCATCATCATCATCTCCTCTTCCTCCTCTTCCTCCTCCTCCTCCTCTTCTTCCTCCTCCTCCTCCTCAGATCCTCAGCTCTTGAAGACAGTATTAAACAGTACGAGCAGGATCTGGCCAGGAAGCTGTACCAGTCCCGACAGTGGGCACCTGCTCCCGGGGCCAGGCCAGCTCAGATGTCTAGTCCAATGCAGAGTCACGCCTCAAGAATCCCTGGGTCAGGAAGCCAATCCAGGTGTGCACAGCCCCCTCCCTGCCAGCTGCATGCTCAACAGTCCTGTCTGTATCCCTACATCCTAACGCAGTGCTCCCAGCTGTGGCCTGCCAGGGGTAGGGAGGAAATTTTAGTGGTTGCTGGTATTCATTTCCCTGAGGTCCCACAGACTACCAGCAGTTGTCTCAATGAGAATGGTGGGGAGGGATGCTGGATCTGACTGGGAGAAGGGAGCAGACATATCTGAAGGCTGAACCCACTTTTTCTTAGCTATTTCATAATCTCCTGATGGCTGAAGAGAGTTAAGGTGCAACACACTGAGAACACAGAGGAGTGTAAAGCCCTGAGAACTGATCCTACTCATTTTGAGCCCCTGCAGTTCCTTTCCCAGTTTGGGTTGCTCTCCCATTGTATATGGCACCTCTGGAAAGGCCTGCAGCTTCTCAGTGCGTTGATGCTTACTTAGCTCTAGGCTCTTGTCTGTTCAACACGTATGATGGCATGTGTGTTTTAGGATGACAGCAAACCAAGCTGTTTTACTCTCCTGCTTTGAAAGTCTGGCTGCCTCAGGGAATTAAGATGCTTAATTTTGCCTTTCTGCATTCAGCCTGTTGACTGTGGTCTGGCTGCTGGGTGCAGAAGGCAGCGTTATTTCTTACTGAGAAGGCATTGTCTGATGTCTTTTTCTCCCTCCCTCATTTCTGAGATAGGATGAAATCACTTGAGCAGGATGCCCTTAAAGCCCAAATGGTTATTGCCAAGTCCAAGGAGGGGAAAAAACGCAACACGCTGGAGCAGCTGGCAGAGTCACCTTCACCTGTTCCTACCCCATCACCAACACCATTGGAAGGTACTGTATAGCTATGTCTTATCTCCAAGGGAAAAAGTTAGTGTTTCTCTAGCTTAACTTGCTTGAAAGCAGACCTGTTGAAAGCAATTTTCTCCTTCAGCCTAGACTGGAAGGTCCTTTGGGGCATGTCTTAGCATAGGCCTGATCTATAGAAAATGTGAGAGAATATCTGAGGTATGGTTCCAGGGAATCAGAGCAGAAATAAAGCCAGCATCATGACTTTTAAAAAAAACAGGAAAGAGGCATTTGTTCTGAGAAGGCAGTCTTTCCTGAGCGTAGTCTTTTATCACACTTAAATGCTGCTAAGTGCAAGGGGCAGATTTGGGGAAGTGTTGCATATAATACAGCCATTCACTAAAATAGTGCTCTTCTGTTCTCTTTTGCAGATTGCAGTCCCAAAAACGTCACTTCACCGGGAAGGCTGGTATGACATAACTTCTGCTTGCTTTTGTTATCTCACCTATAACAAAGGTTACTCAGCTCGGGTGTGGACCGTGCATCTGGGCCATGGGATCCCTACTTAAATACTTAAGCCAGGTCTGGATGCATGATATACAGAACTATGAAGAGAGCACAGTGCTTGAAGCTCTGCCATACCCATTGCTAGAGGCATTCTCCCTTTTTTGAAACTACGATGTAACATCTGTTTACTCTTTCCTTGTTTTGTTATTTCATCCTTTTCCTGGTTCTTTACCTCCGTGTTCAGAAAGCCTTTCACTTCAGAGACTTTGTCCCCTTGTTTTCTCAACAGCATAAAACTGAGATCTTCAGCTGAAATCTCCATTTTAATTTTTCTAAGCACTGTATAAATGCAACAGAACATTGTTGCAGAGAACTTGTCCAAATTAGTAAGACAGACAAATGGAAGAGTGGGAGTGGCTGCACAGAGAGGGGACCTAGTTTTGCCCAAGGTCACACGATACAGCCAACTCTGGATTGAAATCCTGACTGTGCTACAGGCATCAGGAATCTTACCATGAATTTTCCCATGAAAACAGGTTTCCTATCTAACTTGGTGTGCATATGCATTTTATTGGAGCACATAATGTTTTCTCTGCAACTTGGAACCCATGTCCTGACACCAGAACAACTAAAAAGACAATGTCCCAGAGATGCCTCATATTCAGAGGCTCTATCCAGGCACTCTTGGCACTAACTGAGAATGATACTCTGCTTCTGCTTTTCTCTCTGCATAGATTGCTAAGCTTGCTGCTGGTTTTCCATCCATTTCTCTCCCCTTACTCTCTCTTCTCTGTTTCTTCTCTTTTGCTGTCCCTTCTAGTCCATGTCTGAAAAGAAGTTTGACTACCGGGAATTTGCTGCTATTCCTTCCTCGAAACCTGTTTACGAAATCCAGGTATAAACTGCATGCTGAACCATCTATTAGATTGGTTAGGGTTTCATTGTGCCTGCACATGAAGTGATAACCTTCAGAGCAAAGGTTGAATGATTTCAGGAAGTCCCCTTCAGAGGCCCTGTCTGTGTGGGAGGCAATGACAACCAGCCATGCAGTATAATTGAGGGTTTAGTAGAGACTTCACTCAAGTGGAATTGTGAAAAAGTTGGTCCAGATGGTTTTAAAATTAATGACAAAAGCTTTGCAAGTACAAAGCAGCTACATCTTCACCTCAATTGATCCTGAAATATTTTTAACTGAAAGATGAGAACTAAAAGGGAAGAAAAACCAATAGAAATGATTGCCAACAAATTGCAAATGTTAACTTCAAACTGGAATGTATCCAGCATCCTGCCCAAGAAGCAGCTGTGGTAACAATTCTCCTATGTTGTAACTCTGCTGTAGATGAACTGTGAAATAATCACGTGGAAAGAGAACACCAAGTTGCAAGGGTGAGCGCCATGGCAAGGTTCTCCTCCTTCCTGAAAGAACCTCATATTCATTTAAACTGCTTTCTCATAGAATCACAGGACAGTTGAGGTTGGAAGGGACCTCTGGAGGTCATCTTGTCTAACTCTCCTGCTCAAGCAGGGCCACCTAGAACCAGTTGCCCAGGACTGTCAACTGCCTTTCTCTTATTATCTGGGTTAGTCATTAACTGATTGCATTTGTGACAGCTGATTTGAGCAGATACCGATGTCTGTAATTTTAAAATTTTTTTTTAGTTTTATATAAAGACAGTAAAGCAGATAGATACCTGCAGTTACATTTGTGCTGTGTGTGGAGAGCTAGCAAGTACTGACATGTTGGGCATTAACTTGCTGTCATGACACAAAGATACCAGGTCCAAGGTGTCATCCCCAAAGCCAGGTTGATTTTAGCAGAGTTGCACTTTGAGGATTCTCGGGCAGTTATACGTTATTTGTTGCATATTCTTGGCTGACTCCTTTCACTGGTGGTATTGCTCAGCCCTTGGTAGTCACTCATGTTTTTCTCTAAGAACCCCTTCCCTTTTGAGGTATGCACCTCTCCAGGTTCTGTACCAAGTGAGTTAGAGGGCTGGCCACTCAAATCCTAGTAGCAGCTCTGGACTACCTGAGTTTCCCGAAGCCTGTACTGAGGCCACAGTGCAGCACTGGGTCTTCTCGCAGCTGAGAAGGTGCCTCCAAAGGAGGCTACACCTCCAAATCATCAGGCAGTTATTCTGGACCTCTGTCAGCAGTGCAGTAACAAAGAGACTGTATTTCTTCCTGGCCATAGTCGCATAACTATGTCACTCACTTTGGATCAGCGCAGTGCTATTTTGGCTGGGCTGTGTTCCTCAGCAGTGCATGCCAAAGTCATCACAGCCCCCTGTGCTCTTCTGTTCATGAAGAGCATGGCTTCTACCATACATTTGCTTTATTTCTAAAACACTAAATGGGCTGAGATCATCCCCCCCTCTTTCCTGCCTCCTCCAAGTTTGCTGTTTGCACAAAATAGGCAAGTTTATATGGAAATGAGGACTTCTTGTACTCTCACAGCTGTGAAATTTCCCCAATGCTTTACATATAATTCTACAGAGACGCTGTCCTACAACTAAAAAAAAATTAAGCTACTCCTCACTTGTGGTCTTGAGCTGAGCAAGACGACCCCTAAAAGATAGATTTTGATCACTAGTGGCCAGAACTTTCAGATGAATTTGGCATTATTAAACTTGCTGAATAGTGAGCTCTTCTGAAATCCTATCCTTACATTTGTAAAGTTCAGATTAATGTTGAGCTCAGTGTAAGTACTGTGTACAAACCTAGAAAGAAGTAACAAATGCAGCCACTTTTGAAGTAAACGGAATACCTCAATAGGATACTTTGATCTTTCTATCCTTGAAGCACTATATACAGCTAGATTAAATTCTGTATTTCAGCAAAATAAGTAGGGCTTGGGACATTCATGCCTGTCCCCAGACTAGTGCTGATTTTCAAGCCACCTCAAGTTCATGACCATGAGCAAAGTTGTTTTCTCATGGTGTTGTCACTCTGGTCTGATACGCTACAGACAGCTCTGGTTATTGGAATGGTCTTCATTTTGTGAAGGCTTTAAAATTAGCAGGAACTGGTGGAGTTTCATGAGTATCACTTAGCCATTTCTCCAAAGCTGTCTCTGCCATCTGTTGGAATGTAACTGCTTCCTGTCCCACATCAGTTCTCTATACATGCCTGGATACAAAGAAGAAAGTTGATTTTGCATAAGAAGCTAGTCCTGGGATCAGTGCAGATGCAGAATTAGGATCCAGGATTCTCAAGGAAACGTAGCTCATGTCTTTGCTCTCCTCCCATGTTTCTACTCATTTTCTGTAGTCTTTACACTTTCTGCCTTTCATGTCACTTCCTATCCTCTTCTTCCTACGCACACAAAGTAAAAGGAGGAGAGCTCTGATGCGCAGACACACACCTCATCCTGCAATTCAGGCAGTGGGCTGCTTGACTTTTGCACAAAGGATTAATGTTGTAATCGTTCATTCACTGAGGGTCATGCCCCAGCTGCTGTATTACAAGCGCCTTTGAAGGTAAAAGGTTTTCTGTAGTGTGTTGGAAGGCTGGAAGTGGGGAATTACCTGACATTAGTGTTACAGAGGTGGATGCTCATGCCTTCTCTTCTCTTCCAGTCACCTGATGCAGCTGATGACCTCAGATACATAGATGACAGAAATAACTCGGGTAAGTTCATGGCCAAAGGAGTCGTCTTTGTATTACTTGCTTCCCACCATGGTTCTAGAGGGTTCCCCTTTGCCTGCTTGAGGAACCAACCCTGAGGACTTTAACTTCTTGATGCTTGAAGCAGTGTCCTATTTTGTCCGTTCTAGAATGACACCTCCAAACTTGCCACATTCAGTTTTGGGTAGGACATTTGCATTGTGCTTTAGTGATGGCTAATTTGCTGAGAATGGTGTGTAACAAGCATGCCTTGTTTTCTTCTGGTTTTGTGTTCTGGAATAAAGAGTGGTAGTAGAACGTGGGTGGGAAGTTTTTGCCTCTGTCACCTGCTGTAAGTGAATAATATCCATTGTTCAGGGTCTGCCTTGTGCCCCTTTTGCTAGAGCAAAGAATCTTGCTGCCTGCAGCAGGCAGTTGCAGATAAATTCATCCTGGTTTAAGACTTGAGAGCATTTGGGTGCTTGAGTACCCACTGTCACACTTGTGGATCTGTGTGCATGGTCACCTAAATAAACAGCTTTGACTGCTGTATCTCTTCAGGCTGCCCTAGCTATGGTATGTCTTTCTATCCCCAGCTACAATAGACAGGCTCAGACTATTTCCCACTTAATTCTAGGTGGCTGTAGTAGTAGTAGGGGGCTCAGCAGGACCTGCCTTCTCCTTAGTAGTACTTCTGTTTCCTTCAACAGTTGATGCTGGTTTTTTTATGCCTGTTTTGCAGCTATTTCCGCCTCCCTTTATTTTATGCAAGGAATAGGTTCTCTCTTAATTTATCTTGGCAAATCTCACTGAGTAAAGGCTGCACTCCAGACAGCTTAATCCATGTATGGGTCATTTCCGGAAAGAGGTTCTGCTGCACTGATACTCAAGAAAAACTTAATTTCCAGACAACATCTGTTCTTCATCCCTTGGAGTAAACCTCTCAACCCTGGTTTATTCTCTTGAGGTAGTCCATTTAGTCAGTGTACATAATTAGGAGGTCACTGAAGGGTCAGGAAATAATCAGCAATTGCTTAGGGGCTTCAGACCTCATTATTGTCTGTCATTAGTCTATTGGACCCTCAAATAGAATAAAAGCCGTAAAGAAGAGTGTGTGGTGCTCTGTCAAGAGTTTTTTAACCCAGTCCTTAGTCCTTAAGTAATCCTTAAGTCACCAATGTTTGAGGTTGTAATGTGTATGAGTCACCAAAAAAAAAAAGCAGATTTTCCAAAATCAATTTGGAAGGATAGCAGATGAAGATGCAACTAAGCTCTTTTGCTATGGGACGAACCTCTCAAGTTTGTTTTAGGTTCCCCCCCCATCTCATTCTTCCAGGCAGTGTAGCATTCCAGACAACATACAGATTTTTATTTTTATTTTTACAATGATTTTTGGCGAGCTATAACACCTGCATGACAAATTTAAAAACCACTCCTTTTCTGCATCAGTTCCAGCCTCCTCCTAGGCCTGCTTTTGTCTCTTTTCAGATATCCTTGTCAGAACATGTGGAGAAATTATTTGCAATAAAATACTTCTCTGGGAAAATATTTGAGAATTGGAGTGATTTTTACTTGCATTTTCCTGTACTATAAAAGTAAAAGGAAAGGAAACCAGTTACCAAAGATCACAGGATTATTATGCTGTTCAAAAGAACACGATGTGTGTGCATTCTCCTCCCAGCCTTCCCAGCTTCATTTGCAACTCCCAGCATTTCAGGCAGCAATTTGATATCCTACTAGGCCTTTCACTTCTGCGCATATTTAATACAGCTTTAAAGAGATCTAATTGCTACATTTAGTGACACCTTTTCTCTGTACACCTCTACATACACTGAGATTTTGCTCAGAATTATCCTTCATCATAGAATTACGTCTTTTTGATCATGTGGTAAACTCATAAGCAATTCCTAAACTTTATGCTAGAAAAGCGTTATAACAGAAACTCCAAGGATATCTTACTGCTGACTGCAGGAAAACATTAGCATATCTCTCTTCTGATTGTCTTTCAAAGCACACCATTTTCTTGTCCATTGCAGATGGACTCTAATAAATAGTTGTTTCCATTCTTGGGTCTGACTTCATGGTCACCACTTTTAAAATGTGTTTAAAAACATTTAATCTAAGGTTTTCAAGAGGCCATGAAGTTATTGGACTATATAATAGCATTTTTAGGGTGGAACCATGCTATGTGTTTGCTTCATGACATAACTTTCCAGGTCACTTAGAGCCAGAGTCTTTTGCTTTGCAATTTCATAACCATCAGGTTTCAGAAATACACTCTTGATAACTTTATATTGCACTTGTTACTGGATACCTACCTACTTATGGTTTAGGGAACATGGTGGCACTGGATTAATGGTTGGACTTGATGATCTTGAAGGTCCTTTCCAACCTAGTGATTCTGTGAACTAAAACAACCTACTTTTGTCCTCATGGTCTTTGTCCATTTGGGATGTCTAATGTCTACAGCAATTTAAACAGGAAAGGTATCTTTTTATCCTACACTGGTCTAATCACTACTATATTATTAGTTTTGTCTAGGACTCAGTTCTGTAGCTTATGTACACATAGGAATGAAAGATGATCTCTCCACCTTCTTGTATTGCTAATTTATCCCCATCCAGCCTTTTTAGTCACATCTCTACTCCAAAGACTTTCGTCCACCCTTTTGTTCTCCAGACTTCCATTTTACAGATTCTTTCCTACCAAAATGCCAAAATTTCACAAAAGTAGAATCTCTAGATTCATAGTAGTTAGAATGCCTGTGCTCTCTTCCAGTATTTTCTGATTTCTTTCATAGGATAGGAAGCATGTACAAGGGAGGCTTGTACTGGTTCAGAATATACCAGTATCCTGTTTGGCTGGAAGTGAGTTCTTAGGGAAAAGACTATAAAAAACAGAGCAAATGAGCTTGCATAGATGCATAGTATCAATTTTCTGTGATTACCTATTAAGTTGGGATGTCTTGAGCAAGGTATTGTATCTAGATCATCGATGGAATGATCCTCTATAAAATTGTCTAGATTTTTTTATCTTTCATAGTGCTTTGTGACATTGAGTTCCATAATTAGGCATTTTGATTGCTTTAATTCTGTTTCTTGATAATTTTCTTGGGTGTTCTGGGATGTAAATAACTATGTCTTATTCACTCTTTCTGTACCATTCATGTAGGCTAGTGTCATATCAGTTATCTTTCTTCCAGGCTGAAGAATCCTAGTTCTTCTTTGTGGGAATCATTCCCACACCTTTATTTCATCTATGCTATTTTTGAGGTAGAGAACAGGGCTGCATGCAGTATTGCAAATGTAGGTATATGATGAGTTTATGCAGTGACAGAAGATGTTCTATATGTTCTCCCATCTTTTCTGATATGTAAACCTCAAAAGTGAAATGGTATTGCTGAGAAGTGTGCCGGTGGTTTCAGAAAGCTCCTCCTAATGAATACAGAATCCTAATCTCATTTTAAGGATGTCATCTGCTTGAGGGTAGGAAGGCTTTGCAGAGGGATCTGG